GTTATGATGTGTTCCATGAAAGCACCACGCATTTCAGTTTATCGATGGAACGATGGCCAATATAAGCGTAGAATTTTGAGGAAATTGGAATTAATGTCTTTGAATGGAACGAGTTTTTGCTGAGCACTGTTCATAATGCGATCTATGAATCAGGAATGTTTCTATATCAATGAAGTCGGTAAACAACTATGCGTTAAATTTTGGGAAGCGGATCATTCAGTTCAGCAAGAAGTAAGGAAGCACCAATAGATGCGTAATTTTACGTGATAATTAAGGCGATGCACATCAAGAAGTGAATCGTTAGCCACAGAGATTGTCTGCATAAAACAGCTGCCAGAAGGAAAAATAAGAAATGCGCGACGAGATTCGTATCTGTGTGATGCATTCCAGAAGGAAGCAAGCCATTTAGCAATATGCAAATATTCATTATTCAATCATTATGTTAATCAGCAATCGTCTATAATTCAACCGCTTCATTACTTAACTGTTATCCATTCTCCGAATTAACATTATCGTAATCATTCTTTCATTCCTTTTTTCCGGTTGCATTGCGCACATCTGCTTCGAGTGAATAACAAAAAAGATTGAGTGAATAGACCACTATAATTGTTTTTCATGCAAGGAGCGTGATTCAATGATATGAAGTCAGAATCATGATTAATTGACGGAGTGATATGAAGCCAGGTAATTTGAATGAGCAATGTGACATTAATGAGTGAAAGATTGCGAGAAATACCGATGGATAGACTGCGAATGTTGATTAGAACATTCGCGAAAAGCAAGATGTGAAGAGAGAATTGTTTGATTGAAGTGATATGTGAATGAAGAATGATAGTTGAGCCAATCATTATACTTGCTGAAATATAATATCAATTTACTAGGCCTATGGGAAAGAGATTCAACAGGCGCCGTATCAATCATGTTCGCTGAGCATATTTCACATCTTGTTTCGCTTCTTTACCCACAAAAACATAAATGTTTGCCTGATAGTTTCATATTGTCCAACTATATACAAGAAATGTAATCTAAGATTCGAACAAATTTACAGCTCATCTCGCGGTAACATTTCATTTGAACGTATGTGATGAACACAAATCATACCCATAGACAATTCGTTAATTGAACTTTGATATTTATTTGAATACTTTTCACATCAATCATTCCATTCAATCTCTCTTTCAACTGATAAGTTTATTGCACAAATACGAATCCCTCACTTTTTTTTCAAATTTTTCCATTATCTTCTCACCTTCTCACGTCTTCTGCTTTCATTTAAAAAATGTATTAGCTCATCAACTATCAAGAGTTTCCCTGTCATGAATTTCACACTTGATTCGTTAATGACATCAACTGCCTCATTTAACTTTCTTTCGTAACGGGAAACCATTTGTCCATGAAAATTTCAACAGTTCAATTTGACTTCATCGCAGAGCTCAATTTCGAGAGACAATTTGGCATTGTGTAAAATTGATCACCCAACGTCCGTTTGATCGGTCATCGATCTCAGATAATGTGTTCATCAAAAATGAATGTTTATGCCTTGACAGTTCAATTTGAACAACGCCTTCATTCATTGAATTTACGGTGTATCTGTCTTATTACAGTGTTCGTTCCCATGCTTGAAAGCGCAATAAAGAGAAATTGCCGACCAATTGAATGCACGCTAGCCGTGCATTTAATCCTATTTACTGCGTTGAATCTATCAATCGGCTGATTCGTATTATATTTAATCAGATGATTTTATGCATGAAATTCATTGTTTTTTAAAGAAGCTATTAGGTAAAAAAATGTATAAATAGAATATATATTGAATTTTATTCGCTTTTGTCAAACGATTAAAAAAATATGCAAAGAAAATGGTTGATAAGAGAGTGTGTAAAGTTGAATGAAAAGAGTAATGGAAGTATGTTAATGAGCAATTTGGATATTATGCAATAGAAGCGTGTCATTTGTTATCAAATAAAACAATGAAACAATACCGCCAGTACCGTTTATCCTCATCAAATACCCTCATCAGATTGATCTAAGAAAACCGCTGATCTCTTCGTTTGCTTCAGGCGACCGGTCAATTCCATCAGAGTAAACGTCCACTCAATCAACTTTTGACATTCACTTTTTTTGATAAATATCTCTCTTTGACATGTTGAACCGAAATGCAGATGAAATTCCCCAGTAAAAATTAGTTTAGTATGGTAAGGAAAGACAAGTATTACTCTTGAGAACAAAAAATATATTTCTTCTCGTACGCTTGAACGAATCACGATTCGACCAGTCCTGCGTTCAGGCACTTTTTCAAAAATTTGTATGCAATTCGGGCGAATATTTCAATGAACTCTAGATGGACTCGAGAAGTTTCCCATAATGAGTGCAACTGATATTGAGTCTGAATGCTGCATCGTTTTGCACCTTCACACTTTGACGAACTTCGAATTTTCAACTTCAGAAATATTCATTAAAAACTTCATTTTGAGAAAGAAGAAAAATCTTAGTGAAATCGATGAATAAGAATAAGGAAAGCTATTGGAAGTAGCACGATGAAGTGTTGAACACTTTGGGAACAACGTTTCATGATGATTTTTGAGCAGCTACAGATCGAGTGCAGTTGGCAGTTTTTGAAAATGCACCGTTGCTCAGATTATACCCATCAATTAAACAAATACTTTCTCAGCGGTTGCAATTTATTCAACGATGCAATTTATTGATGACGAAATTTGCAATTAAGAATGGTTAATTTTGAGTGAGCATGTGTGTGTGTGTGCTATTTAATTAATTTCTCATCTATCGTATTATTTCCGTGATAGCACCTTAAAAGCGACAATCGAAACCATCATTCTCAAACATTTATCAACAACATTTCGCTCTGAATGAAACAATTTCAAACGAATACTTCTTGAACTGTTGCTTCAGTGCTCGCTTTCCTTATCATTTGACCAATCTGTTATGTGACACACATTATTAACATTCACAACTTTTGAATCCACAAAACCGTGTATAGACTGATCAGGTATGCACTAAAGTACTGTAGTGCAGTTGAACAATCTTCCATTTAAATCTATTCATCGCACAAATGATCATATCAGCAATTTCAACTACCACTCTTGATTCATCGACTCCCACAGCACAGCTTCTTGAGAACAATAAATTTTGCTCACACATCGATTTTCTTTTTCTTTTCAGACGCTCTTCTTGAACCTCGAGTTCTAGAGTTATTGCGGAAATTTTCAAATAATCTCTTATGTGATTATTTGAATATGGAAGCAATCAGCTGCCGTGCATTCGCAATTGGGTTTCAGATAAATTGATTGCTCCTGAAAGTTAATTATTGTACGTTTTATGCAAACTATTTCGCAGCAAATTTTCAGTAGCTATTTACATTGGCTATTCATCGAGAAGCAGTAATTCCATCATCATAACTACTGACTTGAATGTGTATTCGATCAACTCATGTCATTACATTTCACTGCTAATAGATCAGTGGATGTCTGAAAAGAGGATTGTTCCTCTTACTGGAAACCGTGACGATAATACATAAGTAAACGGTCTGCTCATTGCGAGAAAAGAAGTTTCGTGATATCACTTTCACACGTTTCGCAGTGTTCGATCAACTGCATAGAGGTATTAACGTAGCGATTACCATATCTTGTTGAATGCAACATCACTTTGCTTTTGTGATGAACTGTTATTGATCGATGAAGAGAAGCTGAGTTTACGAATGAAGTAGTATTAGTGACACAGTGCAATTATTAATTTGCTTGCCATTGGACAATGGTCTCGAGTCAGCATTTACATGTCGTCAGCCGTTTAAATATGAAACGGAAGATTATTGGAATGGGCGGAGTGTGATCTGATGAGACAATTACCTATTGCAATGAGACGTTTAGCGAGGCGAGGCGGCCTTTCAGTAATCAGATTAGTTCAGCGAAGACTCTTTCACAGCACCCGCCTACCGTTTCCATCAGTCTCATGCTTTCATCCTCTATCCGACTATTATACCGCAAACAGGCTGTCATGTCATAGATCTTAGTTCTCGATTTCTTTTTTTGGTGGTCGGTGTCGTTTTCCGAGACAGTTTTCTTTTTGTGCCATTAACCCACATCGATTTATAACGATCCAACTAGAATTCTTTTTCTTTGAGCTAGCAACAGATATCGGTGTTAAGAGCTTGGTCATTCGCCCTGTTCTCTTGCATGTTTCTATCTAATGCTCAGGCTTTCGGGTAAAATGAACAACACATCGTTAGATGCGCCCAAATTTAGCAGTCCTCGCACAATTTCATCATTGAATTACCTTCTTCTCACTGAATTTCTTGATATTTCATGGGGAAATATGTGCAAATACGATGAACTGCTGCATTAATATTCATGCAATACTAATCAGTAAATTGATTCCGATCGAGTTTTTTCTTATAAAAATAATATCTCTTCATCTTCAGTTCATCGATTTTAACGTCGTCTATTACCATGTATGATGTCTCGATGAATGTAATTTAATAATTTATGGAGAAGACAATTCATTAATGATTCCATCTATTTTCAAGGAGAGAACGTTACGATTTTGTGCAATTGAAAGGGAAATACTAGTGTTATATTAGCGGGCCTTCATGTCAATCGGTGCCGGGGCTATGTGCACGATCACGCGAACACAATCAACTACAAAAATTTCAACAAAACCTACATTTAGTGTTGAAGATATTCTCGCTGATTCAACACATCCAACGTAAACATTCTTTACTTCCACTCTCTAATTTCAATTTTATTCACCTTCTGAAGCTTCAGCAACATGAAAAATACTTCTCTATCATCAATGGCCTGTGAACATTAAAGGAGATGATTTATGTTTGCTCAGCCAAACAATTTCGTCAACCTCTATAGATAAATTATTTTTTTCATCAAATACTACCAGAATGGACAATACTGAGAAATTAAAAAAAAAACGTATGCTCCACTGTATGTGTGACACGATTCAGACTAGTCATTGTTAAGAATCGCAATATCTGAGCCATGTCTCATAATCCAATTTGCAGTCGATGCTCAGAGGAGATTCTGAAGCCAGCGCCAGTTCATCCAGTATGTGTACCTTCTATAATCACACCCGTAACGACCGTTTCACCAATGCTCCATCCCAGTGCTATCAAGTATCCATTAGGCGTTGATCCAGCGGCTATATTCCTTTTCACATCTCAGTTACGTTCCTCACTTTCTGACTCATCCCCGTCCGAGTGTTCGTCAGGCTCATCGCCTCGATCAATACCTCACTACGCTTGGTTACCAAGCTCTTCGGAACGTCCTTCTACTCCCAGTTAGCTTTTTTGCTATTCGATCCAAATTTCATACCACAATTTTTTTCAGTCTCCAATAAACATCTTCCTCGACAGTCTATGAAAACAAAGAATGACCACATTTCATTTCCGCTCATATACTCGTTTATGATTATATTTTTTTCAAGTTACATTGAATAAGTGCCAGATTCAATCGTCGAATCACTTTCTACGAACATCACTCATCATCTAATTTTCACCAACCGAAATGCTTTCATGACCAATGCAATTTGCTTGCATTAATAAACGATCAACTTAAGTACCGAAAAGATTGATCTTATTGCGGCTCTATTGATGTGCTCGAACCGTATTTCAGATGAACAAAAAAGTATCACTGCGTTGGGATTGAGCAAATGTCTATTGCGCAAGCACAAAAACAATCGCAAACCACGAACGCCATTCAGTACCCAACAACTGCTCTCGTTGGAGCGCAAATTCCAACAGAAGCAATATCTATCTATTGCAGAAAGAGCTGAATTTAGTGCTTCGTTGCAGCTCACAGAAACTCAAGTCAAAATTTGGTTTCAAGTATGTTTCGTGTTTCCTTGCATTGTTTTGTAATTTTTTGTCTTTCTTCCTTATTGTCTTCTTCTTTATGATTTTACGTAACCGCTCACTAAAGACGTCTAAGAGTCGAGGAAGCACTTCTGATTCTTTCTTTTGTCGATACATTTTCGATCTGCTCTCCATCAGAAAGTCTTGAGCAGAACTGATGATAAAACTGAAGCAGTTTGAGCACTTTTTGCTGTCGAATACTAAACTATTGGCTTTCTGCGAACCAATTCCCCAAATGCTGTTATTATGAGGACGATTCCTATAGTCTCGCATTGCGTTAATTCAACGGAGTTTAATTACGCCAGTTTTATTGACTGTTCTCGTTATTACAGTAACGAAACAGATTAGGCGTTAGAAAACTCAGTCTTGTTTGTTTCTGTGAAAAGAGACCGACCATTCTATTATAAAATGGCTGATTGTTTAATTATAGCATTAATGCATCTTCATCAGAATAGCGTGCCTTAAGAGAATCATAAAAATTTTATAAGAAGATAGCAGTAACGTTACTGACAATATTAGTAATAATAATAGCATTAATATTATTGATAATATTAGTAACAATAGTAATAATTATAACAATAATAATAGTAATAATGAAAATCACCTTATCTCATTCATCACTTCATCATATATCGATGTAATCAGCGAATTGTCACCTATAATTATGTGTTATTCTATCGAGTTGATTCGATAAGTGCTTTGCGATGAGAAAGAGATATGCTGAGGAAATATAAGAATGAAAGACAAATATGTGTAAGAGTCATTCTGAGACTACAAAATTATGAGGATATCTCATTTCTGTTCATACTTTCTTAAATGATTTTATCCTATCATCATCAAATACGCATTGACAACCGTCTTTATTGAGTGTTATGCACTAAATTCTGATTAGTTATAATCGAATATCATATCACATGATAATGTGCACTCATTTACCAAACAATCACACGCAATCTCAAGCATGATAAAAATGCACATTAAGAATATGGTAGATCTGAGTTCACCTACTCACAATTCCCATTTTCATTGCAACATAGATAAAAAACCAAGTCGTGTGAATCTTAAATGTGCATTCCACATCAAAATAACACCCACGATTATTTTTCGGTAGCATTATAATTTGAGCACAGTCATTTGCATCGCTGCCAGACCCTCTTATATAATCTGATACTTAAAAACTATTCGCTGCGTTTATTTCCAGTGAGATCTGATTTTTCAGAGTTTCTTGAGCTACGAATATCAAAATATACACGAAACAAATTACAGAACAATGAAGATGAAGACTGTTTGATAGAATGAGGCAATAAATGAGTTATTTATTGCCAACGATTGTGACGGCATTAAATTCCTCGTTATTCCTCTTGAAGATTCAATGTTTAATTGTTTAATGGCGTTTTGTTTGCTATGCTTTCCGTCATTTTAATGATAAGGATATATGAGCAAGCAAGAATAACATTCTTTCAAATAGCTACCATTTGACTCGTTGTTAATAGTCGTTTAATTATGCTGTCGAGAAAACTTTTTGAATAGAGTTGAAATCATCGTTTCAAATATTCATTACGTTGTTGCAAAATCGACTGAATCCTTCTTGCTCGTTATAAGAAAGCTTCAACTGCAATCACCTACACTTTGTCTTCTCTTTTCTAAACTCTTTTCATGCTACTAAAAGTGAGCGCAGCAATACGATGCTACAGTAGGAATGTTTTATGTAATCATGTATAACATCAGTTAAGCAATATTGGTAGTGAATATTATGCAGACAATGAAGGTAATGATAGTAATAATAGTAATAATAGTAATAATAATAATAATAATGATAATGATAATAATAATAGTAATAAATAACAATAATAATAATAACAATAATAATAATAACAGCAATAATAACAGCTAATGCATAAAGTGCATAACATTGTTAGATGAATGTGCAGTGAGGGGGAGGGGCATCCAGCAGATGGCTCGTGTCATATGAGCAACACTCTGGTTTGTTAACGTATACGGTAGGTAGGGCGGATTATATAATGAGACGAGTATCATCATAGCACTGAGCAAATAAAGAGGAGTGAAGGGCAGAGCCATCATAGCGATAATTCATTGTTTAATTGTGTTTTATTTGATGACGCTATTAAACATTTGCTAATGAAATATTTATTTATTGCTCATGATGATCATACAAAAATGTGTACAGCACAAAAACTGTTAGATTTCATAAATTTCTTCTGATTTGATACGCTAGTTTGACAGCAACCTCTCAAATGATATGATAAGCAACAACTGATTTCAAACAATTACTATGTGATCATAGCATCCTGAAATTATTCACTTCGTGACTGAATACCGTGTCATAATTGAGGAAAGCTTACACTTATCGTTATTAAGGAATATTGTAGAATTCGAATTCATTTTCACAGCGAAATGCCGAACGAAAATCTGGCGAATATTTTTGCGATCACCCAAACGCCTCATAAGGTTTCGTTTGATTGCCAGAGGTATTACCGAGGAAAGTCATGTGATTCCTTAGTGATGCCTTCAAAAGTGCATTCCTTAGGAATATTTCATGCGACGAAAAACAGGGAGAAGCACGTGATTGTGAAGAAAGTGGCCGTGATTGATTCACAACAATAATCAAGCCGCATGAATTGAAATTAGCTTGTATTCGAAAAACTTCATGTTGGAAGCAGTGCAAATGAATAGACAATGTTGATAAACATTCAAGGTTATATGCTACGATACAATGTATAGTTATATACAAGTGGTCGAATAGCTTGACACTGACCCATTCAGTGAATTTGTTTCGAAATGTTCAATAGACGACATATATCTAATTTATGATCGACTGCGATTCGCTCAACTGTAGCGGTTCTATTATGTACGATGCGATTATTAAGTAATATCACAGTTATGCTGCACATTCATCATCATTAATATTATTGTGATTATTATGACCATTATCATCATTAGAATTGCATAGTACGCATTTTTGATTCTTCTACGCGAGCAACAATCAGTATTGTTTCACACATCACTCTCGGTGACCCCTGCTGAGCCAGCCGTTGAACAAATTCTAGACGAATATTGAAGAGAGCGTACGCAACTATTTATCATTTCAACAATCTACGTGATTATCTTCTGAAAAGACGCAAGAACTTTTAGTTTCATCATCTTTTTTTTTCAATTCTTTTCGCTGGAAATTTCAAAAAGTTGTGGGTAATTCATCACTTTCATGATTATTTCCACTAATTAATTAATCAACGCAAACGAAATGCTAGAAGCCAGCAAGCAAAACCTAAGATTAATTGTACCCATTTTAATTAGAGTCTAAAATTTCTTTTCCACACTTGCTAACTGATATCAAGATGGTTTTGATAATCTCTCATCAAATAAATTATCTTATTAATTATCAAGCTCATTCAAAACATTTGTTCTTAAGTGATATCCATGTGCAATAATCGATTTGCACACATAAATTCTACTGCTCTACACAACACTTGCTCATCTGAATTGTATTTAAAGCTAGCACTGAGTTTATGCTGAAGGCACTGCGATGCAATCACAACAAAACATGTGTGTTTCAGAATCGACGAGCAAAATCGAAACGTCTTCAAGAGGCCGAAGTTGAAAAAGTGAAATTTGCGCAAGCCAGTGCGTTTGCAGCTGCAGCCGTCGCGAATGCAACAGTTGGCGACAGCACCAAATCGTTTCTTCCGTTCACTTATGCACCTCAGTGGTGATCTGATTTTATTATAATATAAATCGTGTTATCTTGCTTGAATGAGATAATGATGCACATAAATGAATTATAATTATAAAGCATCATTCGAACATCAATTATTCATACTTTATATGATAAAATGAACAAATTATTGTTCTCATTCTTGTACATGTGTCCATTTCTTCACTCCGTGTGCTAAACTTTCCCTTAAAACAAATTATTCACGACTGGTTTGCTGTCGAATTATTCACATTCACATATAGACGAACCAATGAATATCGAATACGCGCTATCGTACCAACATGACAACAATACGCAGTTTCTTGATTTTTTCGTAAATATCGCTGATTAAAACGGTGAAGCATCAAATTCAGAAAACGAATGACTCGCGTAAACGCTTCTACTAGTAGCACATTCCAGTCGTCTGCTTTGAACAATGATACTCACTCAATTGATTTGTTCTCTTTATTGTTCATGTGTATTTATTATACTTCGTTTCAATATGTACAATACTATAATTAATCCATCCTCCTCTATCATCACCTCCTTACCATTTTTTCATCCAAATCCTAATGATTTTTACTGCGAATAGAATTTGTCTAGTCTGTTTTTATCCGGCAATCTCGCAAATGCACGAAAAAACCGAAGATTTCTCCTTCCTTGGCAAAATCTCATAGCTCTAACCAAAATCTTCTCACTTGAACAACGACTCATTATCGTACGTTCGCAACTATTATCTCTTGCTTAATGCATTCAGCTGTGTCTTATAATAAAATTTTGGAGCTTTTATGTATATTTGACGTTACATTTTATTATACTTTTCCCAGATTTTTTTGCAGTGTGTACTGCGTTCACGTCTGATGAAAGTGGTAACACTGGCTCTTTGATTACCTATTCTTCAAGGAACTTCTTAGCCCAAATTGCTATCGCTTCATCGAAATTCAAGGATGCAAGTAATATGTTGATATCGAACTGATTTGTGTAACATAACGATAAATAGATATTATCGGCTGAATGCACACCTGAAAATTCATGCAAGCGAATGGGAAGACATATACTAGATATATGATGCTATAAATAAGGCAAAACAGCGACGAAATGGTAACTTGTTAAATAATTTTAAAATAGAAACAAAATAAAAACGAAGAAAGTAAAATTAAGCAAGGAAATCAACCGAAATCTTTGAAAATAAATTCATTCGATGCAGCTGCTCATCGCAGCGACATGATGGCGCCGTTAAAGCTCTCCATATTTGGTGTGTTTATATAGCAAGTGTGTGTGTTTATTTATTTGTTTGGTATAATTGTGTAAAACTTCGAAGATCATCACATTCTACACATATTGTTCTTTTAATTCACTCATAAATTTCAAATTACTAATCTCATATTCATTTTACTGCTCTTTGAAAGTTACAGACTTTTTGAATGATCTAACTCACATCTCTCAGCAACTGATTCTCATCTGAATTGCATTTGAAAGTAGCCTGCATAATATGTCACTTATCAAAACTTGGAATTTTCGAAAAAAAGTCGAATTTCACTCTAATTCCATTAAAAACTTCGCAGAAATTTCCATGCCAGCGTTGAATCATTGAAAAGATTGATGCTTTGAGCTGATTGCTAAAAATTTTGCCACAATCGTTCTACGTCTCATTTTCCTGAAACATTTTGTGAAAATCATTCAGTAATTTATTAGCAATCATTCCTCATCATAAAATTATTATCGATCAAATGAGAGATCGGATGAATATGATCAAATTTCAAAGATTCTAAGCCACAGTTCATTTCTGAGCCTTCATGCTTTAACTTCCGTTGTTTTAACCAATATTTTAACATGTTTCTGTAAGACTCACAAGCAACTCGCAATTGTTAAAACGTTACAATTCAAATATTGCACGGCAATTCTGACGTTTATTTGTGCTTCACGAGTATCATGTAAACGGATGCTTAATTGATCACATTGCTCAATAATTGAAGTTCATTTTACTTCTGAAGCGAAATGAGATTGTCGATAAAAATTCAGTGGTAAAAGATGAAACGCGATTCATTCGAACGCAATCTGCTGGTCCATCTGCTAATTAGTTCATTCTGTAACTGTAATAGGTTGTCAATAAGAAAACAGTTGCAAGAATATTAATTACTCGCCGCTCACTATCTAAGGATATGCGATTATTCGAAGACGGAGTGCGCACTGCATAAATGAATGCACTACAGTAAAATTGGTTTGAATAACCAATGCGTATAGGGCTATTAGAGGCGTTGTTGTTTCCACACCATAAATTAATCAATAATTATGAATTATCTCATTTCAGCGTATCGAAAAGTCAAAATTCTTTCCCGTTTTACTTTATTAAAACCAAATCTTGATGCTATTCAAAAGTGAAAAGAAAATATTTTCAGCTTCTTGACACCAGTCTATTTCACTTATTTTTCATTTATAAGATTCAATCCTGTCATTAAACTTGATAGTTTTTGTGGTTTTTTAATGAAGATCCTACAACCTATTGTAACCCGAAAGTTAACCTGCGAAGTTAATTTTTCATTTTTGTATATTCCATTAAATAACAATTCAAGTACACTAGCTTTTCCATTCTTAAATGAATCTATTGAGCAGAAACGGCAGTCATCTACTGCAGATTGCAAATTGAGAAACATCCATTACTATTTAGTGAACGCTTCTCGGTCGTTGTCAATAAATCTTGAAGAATAATCGTTCAGTGATTCAGAGATGATAGCTTATGTAATGCTAATATGTTTGGGACAATATATGTATCAACTGCTGAACAATCACTTTTGACTGAACAGTCATCGATTAAGGTCATTCGATGGAGCGTGAAGAGCGTAGATAAAAGAGTATGCGCGCATTTGCAACGCTAGAGGTAAGGTGTCAGAGTGTTGACCTTATATGCATAAGCAGTTTTATGATATAATAAGGAAACGTTAATTACAATTATCGTCAGCATATGTTTGCAGCAGACAATCTGCTTACAACGATCATTGCTCATCATCCGATCAATTAGCTGTATCTCATTACTGAGCCAGCAAATGATACTTTTCATAGAAGTGTATCTGAGTTCCGTGGTGCTTCGATGGTGAACATTGTGGCATCGTTTATGGATGTGTTACCGAGCGAATGTTCGGAACATGAGTCTGACGACAGCGACAGTTTTGAAGTGAAACTCACTCAGTTGAAATGTTAATTGGTAAATAAGTGATAAAAAATTACTGAAATCAAATGGATGGATTGATCAATTGCTCGATTTCGATAAATTGAGCACAACGATTTTGATGGGCTTCTTTTGTCAGTATTATGATTCTAAACAGCGGTTGATTGGATGCAAGATGTCGTTTTAATGATTTGAAAAACAAACACTCTTCACGGTTGTCGGTGTGCATTGTCATCTTGTATAAAGACCACCCTTTATCAATCACTTTTAATCACAGCACTCAATTTTTTGAGCGTTTATTTTGCGGGCAATTGTATAAGCGAAAAAAGTTCAATTATTTTAATCATCAACGAATTAATCAAGCATTTTTCTTAAGACACACATACACATACACATTCATTTAACGACTTTTCGCAATTAACTTTCTTAAAAAGTGATGCATTCTCGCACTGCCCAACATCAGCATTCCACTCTCAGATGTATACGTCTGAATCGAGTTTCAAAGAGGGTCCATCAAATTCTAGAATAGACGGTATCATTTAAAAAATGCAAATTCTCCAAATGATCTTCAGTTTCTTGCCTCAGCATCTATGTAAGATATTGTGATGAGATATATTAAAGTTTGTTTAGCAGTCCTATGAGCAGGTGTATCGTTGAACAGTTGTCTGAAAACCTATCTATTCTAACGATTCGTCATATTGCCTCGACATCTACTACTTGTGCTTCATAAACTCATCATATGTGGGAGGTGTAAACATTTGTCAACCAAGCAGCAAGCTAGATTCAACTTGTTTTGAATACGATAACTTTACATATGTTTTGCATTCATCTCTGAATACAATCTATTACATTACAAATGCACCTATATTGTTGAATCGATAGCGATACATCTCAAAGAACAACAGTATTTCGGTGTTTTACGATAATAAAAGTTGATTCCAAGTACTAATGATCCTATGGAATGTGAAAAGAATTCGAATAAAACAATGCGAAGTGAATGACTATTGAATTACTGAATAATCAATGTGTGTGAATTGCCGCCGTATATAGTTGATTTGATTTATAATATGAATGTGTCTTAAACACACATATGCACATGCGCAACGGGTGGCCCTACGTGTCTGGTTGAGTCATCATTTCTTAGACAATAGATACAGATCAGATAGCCATCATCTTTTGAACACATATTCAGGTAATGCCCGATCCATGACATCACATACGTATGGCACTCAATCAGCAATATGTGTCGATAAGCTGTAGCAAGAACTGAACTTTACAGAGGAATTATTCAATCGTTGTTATATTTGGGGGTTTGATGGTGGTTGGTAACTGTTGATGGTGTGTGTGATGACCGAAAAGCCTAAGTTGAACGAAGCATATGAACAAGGAGGAATGTTTTATTAGAACACGTGACTGTTCGAAGGACAATGAACAGAAACAAATACATATTATATGTGTATGCGTATGTTTTGACGATCATTCAACACGGTGGCTGAATATGAGAATTACTGCAAGAAACATAGCTGAAAGTGATAATAAATTAGGCCGAGATAAAGTAAGCATCATATCACAACAATAACAGTTATGATAGCGGTAATGACAGTGTTAATCATGATAGCAATAACAATGATAGTAAACAATTTGAGTATAAGCAATCACCAAAACAGCTGTTCCTTATCATCAGTGAAAACACTGAAGCAAGTGGCATTGTTTATTGAAATGAACATATGCATACTAAATGAAGTTAACGAAATGTGTGCTATCAGAACAAATAACATGATGATATTGTAATCAATTGAGCAACAAACAATATCCGTCAGAAGACGTCGCGAAATTTTATTTTCAGTGATCAATCAAATGTGAATTATTGCTGACGAACGATTTCATGAAGTTTCGTATTCTATCGAGAACATAAGACGATTAAAGGTTCAACTTACTGACGCAGAAACTATGAAAATACATCACTCGTCTTCATATATCTAATAAACTAAACTATCGTCGAATTGATCGACACTGATCATGCCTAGAAACGTGAGCAGCCTCTATTGATACACTTATGATCGTTTGTAATAATCAGATTTGTCATCATCAATAACTGCTATAAGCATAATTTATTTGAATCCTGTTCAGTGATATTCCTCTTACAGATCTACTCACTAATATCTGTTATCCAGCATCAATAACTGTAATATGTTAACGATCAGCATAGTGAAAGCATAGTTCAAGCACTGCGTGCTGCTCGATAGCGAATGGAATGTGAGGGATTAATTAAGCGACGATAATATTGCACATATAGTAATGGTGAGAGTGATGAAGACATTATAATCTAAATGCAACTCTACGCATGTCTTAAGCAAAATTTAGTTGGAGACAATTGCACGATAATTGTTCATTAAAGGAGATGAAGCAGATAACATATGCATTACATATACTTCCGTTAATTGAATAACCATAACAAGCAATAATCTGAGCCATAAAGAAGCAATAATGAATATTAACGAACTCAGGAAAGAGTGAAACTGATGAGTGTATGCGTTATTTCCGTTGTTGACGAGATGGTTGTGTGCTGAGATGGATGGTTGGGATGGAATTGCTCCATGAAAGACATTAATGAATTGATGTTTGTTACTGCCGCTCTATTTATTTTCTACTATTTACGAACACATCATTTTGTTCCTTTAAGCAAACAAATGAATCTTCTCGTAATTTCCTACCCAATATATCTCATCAATTTCAATGGTTTTTAGTAGCTTTTGTATCTGATATTCAATCAATTAAAGCCAAACAGACGAATTGAGTGAGGTGTTCGCCAACTGCGGACGCATACGTATCCTATTAACCCGTTAGGACCCAATGGGCGCTTTCCTGTTCAGTATAGAAAATAAGGTTCTTGCTGTCTATCATATCAACAATTCTTCCATAACAAACGCACATTGTATAGTCAGGAACATTTTGGGTAGACGTTTTTTAAACATCAATCCGTTACTGTCAAGCATTTAGATGAAGGACAAGCCATTCTTTTTCTTCGGCAATCAGTCGTATGAGGTGTGACTTACCATCGACAAAGCCGGATTCTCACATAAGTGTTAGATTATTTCTCGCTGAAAGCAGCCTAAGCGCTTTAGCGAACAACACATTAGTTGGCATCCGCTATCGAAATAAAGACGAAATTAAAATGCATTCACAATCGGGTGGTGGGTGTTACTTTCATCATGAAATTACTTACTATTGGACGACAAATAATGAATTGCATTGGCAGCTGATTACTGACACATGACATTTTGGTAATCCTAATGAAGCTGTCTTTTTACTGTTTGATCATGAAAATTTGTTTAGTTGGTGGCTCTGAATTAGGCTCATACATAGTTGCATTATCAAACATCGTATGATCAAAAGGCGTGCGGTCAAAAGGCAAGTAATTGTCTGATACGTGCAGAATCGATTGGATCAAGTGAAAAATAATAATAGCAATGATGATAATAATATTACTATTATTATCATAACAACAATAATAACGAGAAGATGATGATGAAGGCAAATAATGATAATTACAAAAATGAATTCCATGGAGAGTTATGATGTGGCATGCTCGATAATAATTGTGCACGATTACGGTAGATGAGAAAAGAAGCATCGAATTGAAATTAGAGGTGGAGCAATTTTGAGAGTGAAGTGGCGCAATTACGAAACAATTTAGAAAAGCAAACGCATTTTGAATGCTGGCTGAAGCAGTTTTTATGTGGCCATTGTGACCAAGCATAGGCCACCGAACTGAGTCGAATGGCACTTCTGGGAAACAACTGTTGCAAATTAAGATACTCGCATTCGAAGAGCTTACGAGTATTACTCTTTAACGTTTGTTTTATTGGCATACCAGTTATTCTGGCAAGGCTTAATTGAATTAAGCCAAAAAAAATCTCTCAAAAATTTGGTAAACAAGCTCTTCATTTGAACAATTATTGCTTTACAGAAACCGCTGTAGAGCAGTGTTATTTAATTGAATATGGTGGCTGAGTATTTTTAAATTTTCTCAAATAAGAGTTTCCATAAGAAGATCGTCAAAGTGAGTCACATGCGAGTAAAACATGCCATGGTGGCGCACTCTCGAAGGATTTGGAACCGTTTTCGTCTCTTCTCACTTATCGCAGACCATCACAGAGAAACCTCGAAAAAAATCTTAGTTAATAACTTCTTTATTTTAAATCACCTCAATTCGCGTTGCTATAACCTTACTTTAGTTTATCTGATGAATAATTTTTTGAATTTTCCCACATTTAGTTTATCATGGGTACGGCCAATTTAAATTTTACGAAGTGAATGAGGAGTGGAAATCTAGGATTTTAGGAATGCGCAATGCAATATGTTGATTTCTTCTCTCGACGAGAAGCTATCATCACGCATTTATTCAATGCAGTGTCAATCAAGAATATCAACCAAGTTGTGACATTGTGAACCTTTAATTGCGTTTCTTATGGCAATATAAAAGAGTGCGCAATTTTTGTTGTTCAAAATTTAATTGGTAATAGGTCAAAGATGTTTGTGACTAAACACAGGCAATCCAATCATCCGAACCAGTCGAAAAGAAATTACTTCACATTATTCCAGGATAACAACGAATGAAACGAATCAATTCAAAAGAGCGTGAATCTGGAAAAACACTCCAGACGAATGTTATATGTAAACACTTACTGTTAAAGATCAATTTTGTAAAAGATTTATTCAGTTATTCGATAATTCATTGCATAATGTGCGAATATTCAGAACATCTCGACAGTGTCAAAATAACACAGACCATCACAGAGAACCCAAACGAAATTCTTAGTTAATCACACAAAGATTGCGAAGATCGTTGTTTATCTCAACATTAAATGTTCGTTGAATCAGTCTATTTCAGTATGCCTAAATAATGTATCAACAATAGGCTATGTAAATTTTTCAACTGAAGTTCTTCGAGGGATCAAAACCGAGCAGAAACATCAAAAAATATCTCGGATTTTGATTAGAACACTAAAGAAATGCAACACTGATTCACTATCTGAGAAAACCTTTTTGAAAATCGATCACTGTGCACACCTACCATGAGCATTTTAGGATGGAGTTATTGAATTGGAATTTAACAAGTTCAAGATGGATAAAAGAATGTATGCGATTTATTTCGTGTTATATTCATGCTGAGCATTAACTGAAACAGACACAGAAACAACGAATGAATAGTAACCCCGGGGGCAGGGGCAACATGGACGCCATGTTCCTCGAGAAGCTATAGCATTGCAACTGTAGAACATGACTGTCACGTTGGCATTGGCAATCTATGGACGTGCACAAGGATAACGATCGCAAAATCACCATCAAACAAACACTAATGAATAGACAGAGCTGTGATAAACAATTGCCTCTTAAGACTGCTTTAATATCGAAACAACAATCAGATCTCCAATTCAAACAACACGTATAACAACAACTCATTTAAATGCAAAATGCACCAACAGCACCTTTACCTGCAAAATCCCTACCTAATCGAAGCTATGCACTTCAAATACACATATCACATTAAATATCCGGAATCAGAATTTTTAATCGCATTCGAAAGCAGAATTCTTCGAAAAAAAACTGATCAACAGTTCCACCAAAATACCAATTCAAAAGATGTACAGTATTATTCCGAATATAAAACCAATTCGATAATGCGTAGCGACGAGACATTCAATAAGACAAACTTATATACAATATTATAATTTATGCGTAGTTTTATTTCAACTGAATGTCATTATTGTAGAGGCATTGCGAGGCTTACGAATAATATGGAAGCTGAAAAAAAAATACTATTTTGAAAGAAGAACATTGATAAGACAATAGAAGTAATCATTGAAATGCGATCGCGAATATAAGCGATTAACTGAGAAAGATTAAATGTGTACATATCACGTTTAACGGAGTAATCAAACTAAAATTACTGCAACAGCACTAAAATCTGGTGCATTATTCGAGCGAAACGAAAAAAAGGGCACTGTTTTGTGATGCCGAAAGACAGGAATAACGAAAGTGGAAAATGCGACAATAGAGGTAAATCACAACAAAATCCGCCTTTCGTGCAAGACACTGGAGTATTTGCATAATATCAACGAATATCAACAGCTTAATAATTCGCATTCAAATCACTATCATATTCCTTCAAATTTCCCAACAATGACTGAATCGTTTCTGACCAGCTAATGAACATTATCAATATCGATAAAACCACAATTTCAAAAATGAGATGAACCTGTAATCGAAGTAATACGATAGAGTGAACCTCCTAAGAATGATTCGATGAAATCGCAACGAGTGATAAAGGCCGTGTATCGCTGGTTAATAAATGTTAACAAAATTCTATTGAATTATTGCTTTGTGAGACTCATAAATTTCTATAAATTAGAAGCGGTTCGGTGAACGGCCTTTGCAGTTGTACTGCAAACTAAATGAAAACAATCTAAGAGACAGATCGATGGCATAATATAACCCAACTTGGAATGATTACGATCGAATGAAAGGTATATAACGCATAAGAGTGGTCTTGCGGTTTTGTTGATGGTCATTACTTTCGGGTGCTTGCAGAACACCGAGCTGTGCCTGTGTTAAAAGACATAATGCAGACGCAACCGCCAATCCAGATGTACCGTGTGGTGTAAACTGCCTACCACCGGTGGGCAATCGAACGGCCAACGTGAACACTCCTACGCGATAGTTACTGCACGGTTCCACTGATATCGGAGTGGCCATCTGCAAGTTCTATTCGAATACTTTACTTGTGTCACTCGCAACCAACAATATTTGTTTGCTTAATGCTAAATAAGAAATTTAGCAGTATACAATCAAAACAAAAATGGAAACAGCAATGAAACAAAAGCGCAATCTAACATCGTGAATGAACGGTGTGAACATATTTCTCAACTCCTTCCTTATCAACAAATTTCAAAGTGTTGCAAAGCCGACAGGTATGTGTATAAGGAATAATCATTCAGTGGATGAAGGACTGTAGTGAATGAATGAAAGATAAAAATTACAAGGTTGGCACGTGGAGATGTCAGTTCCAGTCGTACAGAAGCAAATGGACGTGATGCCATTTGTTCGATTTCATCATAGCGTCGTTGATTTCTTCTAAATACCTCAATGCGCAACTTAATCATCCAAAGAAGACCCGCGACTACGAGTAAAACCACGAAACATCTGAATATATAAAAAGAACGCATCGTTTCAAACAAATCATTCATAATAATAAGAATATTCCACCATTCCATACTTGATGCGAACATAACATAATGATCGTGCGTTTAGAGGCAAATTAAAATGAATTCTCTAAAACAAAAATAATATCTCTACAACTCTCGAGAAAAATGAATGCTTACGCGGCAAATATAACGAAAAACAGCACCCAGTTGATTGGCGGCGACTGTGAGAAAGAGATCTGTATCTTTATCGGCGTTGAAAAATTATGCACTTTAACCTGGAATTGACATCGAATGCAAACAACATAACCGACAAATGAATATCTTGCCCACTCTGACAAGAACCAATCAGGAAACGAAATGAAAGATGGAGTGCACAATGCGAATATTCTAACCAAAAACGTGGTATTCGCATCGGTACCGAATATGAAGCCAGGTTCTGAATTGGCACTGTAGGTACGTCGAATACCATTTTCATCGCACACTGTTTTTGCCATCAGTGGTTTACTCATTCCTGGATGTCCTTCGAATAGAGATGAATTGATGCTCATCGATACGTATGCTTTGTAGCCTTTTGGTGACTCACACACCACCGTAAACTGTACGTCTGTGTCACGCTGAAACCGTGAAATGAAACCAAAATATATGCATTTGCAAGATATTTTTCAGTTCAACTGATCTGTAATTCTGTTCGAGTGCTCAAAAGTTTAGCGTTCAAGTTCAATATATGAACACGAACAAGCAAATTTGGTAGTTGATCCCGTAAGGAAGTCTAAGCTTTTCGAAAATTCTTCCTTCGTTCATCTACATGTCTTCAGATCCAGAGCTACACGTGGAACATAGAAAGTAAGAAACCTTATGCGGTATACTGAAAAAATTAATCTGATTGACGTATTTGTCTTTGGGATCATCTTGATCCAACTTGAACGTGAATATGAAGTCGACAGTCAGCTCATCTGAAACAAAAAAACTCAACGAGCCAACATATTTATTCAGTTTGACTGTCATTACCACAATAAAATCTACATTCAGTAATCGATTCGTTCTATTAAGATACAATCCATGATTTTATCAATATCAAACAAAAAATCACCAAAAACTGTCCAAGAGAATAATTCATGCAGCAATAATTTCAACAAATGATGAATAGCCAAATATTACTATACTTTCAAACAATAATCATAAAAGCAATAAACCAAATACGAATGGAAATTGAAGCACAACTAACAATAACACGGCTGATTGTTTTCAGGATCACCGTAATATTTCTGTTCACATTTGTTACACGTTTTACCAGTAACTCCTTTTGTTGTACAGAAACAATCACCTGTTTCACGCTGGCATGTAGTCGCTTGTCCATTACAATGACATTCTAAATTTGAGTAAAAAACTTATTTGAAAGTATAACATCACTCAAATGAACTTTAAACAAACATTCAGTCGAATTTGTAAGAGGCATTACAGAGAGGGGATAACGCGATTCAGAGAATAATTCATTCATTCAGTGAATCGCGTTATAGAAAAATAAACCGTTTCAACAGCGAATCAGCATATATGGACTGAAGAGAGTAAAAAGTGCAGATCGCAATCGCAGATAGATATATATGAATGGCGAAACGTTTTAAATTAGAACAGAAGAGCAGTGATCCAAGAGCAAAACAGATGTTCATACCCTCACAATTACCACCGTTCCTCGGATCACCATAGAAACCATCAGCACAATACTGACAATGATCACCAGTTGTATTATGAGTGCACTGCGCACACGTCTGATCCAAAATCCAGTCATGCATACTTCTTCTTGTTGTGCAATTACTGTGTCCATTACACTGACACGCTCAAATGTATCATAATGCTCTATATTCTGGTTTGAATAAATCACATAATAAACAATTTTTGTTTGAATGCTTTCCTAGAACAATTGAGTTATTCAATTAAAACCTCAATGATTCTGTTCTTAATGAATTTCAACATCACACACATAATAAATCATCTTAAAGAACACATAAAACGCAAGGCATCTAATTTCAAGCATTTGAAACTCATCAACGAACAGAACATTATATTCTCACCAGAACAATTTGTGAAATACCACGCCGACTTTCCATCGTTAGGACAGAGACTAGCATTCAGAGGTGCCTCAAGACTACCAGGAAGACATCTGCCAAGACCCGTACCCGACCCGTCATCGCACCATCCACATTTGGGACCTACCCGTTGACATTCGGCGCATGTTTTCTGTTTGGAGCAATCCGATGGATCTGGAAATATGAGCATAATTAAGACATTCTAAATCAACAACCACTGCATAAACACTGACCAAGTTGACAAGCATGCTGATTACTGATTGTGTTCGCTGCAGTAACCCAAGACTGGCACTGTCCATACGGAAAACTGATCATGTATGCATCCATGGGCACACAACGAGCATTCGTTGGACACCACATGCACTGCTCTTTGATACAAGAATCACATTGGTTGTGCAGAGAGCATGGAAGAGGACATGTGAAATTACGACTTGATGAATTTAACATCGATAAAACTCGTGACGACGATGACGAGGACGATTGCGAGGCTTGCTCTTCTTCGCGTACCACTTCTGAACACATCATTATTTTTGTAAATGGCGTTACAATAGCAATAGCAAACTTTGAGATGATATTTTCAGAAATTGATTCATAACTGGTTGAGCGCAAGCGAATAATTCTATTCGGATGAAACTTATAGTTAGTTGGAATGAGTGGATTCAAGACAAGAAATCGAAGAATACGATGCAAACCTCGAGTGCTAATACACTTCCACTTCGAATCCTTCATAAGGAACCAACTGCAGTGAGACAGAAGTTTGCATGAGAAGCAATCATGCGCATAGGTACACGACCTAGGATCATCCTCCTTGACACACTGCTCTGGCTTGTCAATTGGTGATGACATCGAGTCTTTGCATGAACCCTCCGAGTTAACGCACTCACGACTCCAATGACACCAGCCACACCCGTCTGCTGCCGTGCAACTGGCACAGTCTTTGCCCTCACTACACAAACTTGCTCTGAAATGTTCAACAAAATCCTCATAATAAAAATAATACTGACAACAACAATACAAAAAAAATCAGTATCATCGTCACGACACTTCCAAAGCGAGAATGGTAATAGTGCTAATAAGTACTTCAATGAATAACTGTTCAACTAACTTCTGATAGTGTTCAGGACAATTCTGTTCGGCTTTTGGATCCTCATTCTTGATAAATGAAAGAAACGATTGCGCATAAGAAACATCTGGCTGAACAGCAACGCAAATTCCGTTACGCATCAAACACCGAACACCCTGACGCATATTTCTGCAGTCTTCTGGTCGTTTCAAACCTCCGCATTCAGCTATCATTAAAACAAACTTCATTCACTTTGTTTTGTTTCATTTCAGTTCAACATTTGATCACTTCGGTGAGTATATTATGACAAATGAAATAAAGAGACAAAAATGCAAATTTGAAATGATGACATAAAATTCTATAAACGACAATAAATCGGTTTCAATAAACGAATACAACTGAGATTTTCCGCAACATGATGAACATAAGACGAACAAAACCAAAAATCAACTCGTACAAGGCGTAAATTTGATCACATCATCAAGCATTCTACCATTGAATCCACCCGTAATAAAAATATTCGATGTGGTTGCAATTGATGAATGACCGTATCGCTGCAGAAACGAATCATCTGGTACATTTATACTCAGCCATGTATCGCATTCTAGAACGTGAACTTTTTCATTTTATGATACTTGTTCACAACTAAACAATAATCTTTTCGAAGCAATTTTAAACATTAAATATGATCACTTCAATCACTCATCAATTAGCAGTGAATGAAAACTAAAACCACTAAATTCTCCGAACCATATTGCTTCGTTTGAATGTCAGTGAAACAGTCAATATATTAGAGAATTAAACGTCGGCAGAGGAAACCTTTCTTTTTTTTACAACAAACTGAAAATATTAATAATTAAAACTCAAAAATAAAAATGTACACACCAATATCATATGCTTGAACAGCACCAGAATAGCAGTCCTGCGTCCGGGTTGACGTCGATTCATTATGTCCATTGCCGCCAATAACAATCATTATTCCATTTATAATTGATGCCGAATGACCGAATACTGGCATAAGACCAGACGATTGGGTCTTATGTACGCTGCATATTCAATGGAGCGTTGTTTGCATATTAAATGGAACAATAAGACTAATATTGCGATAATTTTATCCCATTAAATAAAAGATGAAAAAATGTAATTATGCACGAATGGATAAATCAATGAATAGATAAAATAAACACTTCAATGGAGCAACGATAGCTAAATGGCATTCAACTGTTCTCATTCGAAACAGAAAAAGAATCACAAGTATGAAAAGAAAGAATAAACAAACCATCTTTGATTATCACACGTGTATTCAATCAACACATTCGTGATCGTTGAATAGGTGGCATCATTTGGTGGTTTGTATCCACCGTAAATTAGTATGACATGTTTTTTCTCGTGAAAGTATGCAACCATGCTGTGACCGAAACGACCCTGAATCTCGGGACCACTATCACTTTGATAACTCCAATATTTCGTACCTTTAAATCCATCAGAAAATATTTTTGCTGGTTAATTATGAATATTACAAAAATTACAATTATTCTAGAGAATAATTACTTTCTTTCGAAATTACACTTGAATATTAATCATAATTTAAGTGTTCATTGTACCATCAAAATGCAAAATTTCGATGTTCATTATGGCATTGTGAAAGGAAACAAGCCACCGATTTCATTTAGTAGTGAAGTACTAATCGCGTGCTAATGAAACGAAACACTTTACACTTTAGACGTAAACTCCAATATGTTCGCGGTTTGTCGATTACCGTGGTTTTGAAGGGGTCTTAGCGTTGAATATTGATCAGTTTACATCAATGCAACATACATTCCTGACTTATCTAACGGTTTATTTATGGTGATCGTATAAATGGAGGATCGACTTTTCCATTTATTTAGAATAAAACTGGAAAAGTGTAAAAACGAACTTATTTTATATTTCTGTATCCTGTAGACATATCCTTGAAAAGGATTATAACCGTAGAACACGAGCATTTCATCGCCGATAATATATGCCGTATGTCCTGCGACCGCACTCGGACTTGCATCTGCAGCCGTATTCGCAGCACTTTCCAATTTCCATTCCAGTGTCACCATATCAAGACTCCACAATTCATTTGTTATATTCCTCTCATGGATAACTCCTCCGAACATATACAACTTGTTCTATAAAATCAATCCATGACAGAATCTGAGCAAAAGAGACGTTATCGCCAGGATGTGATGGCGGCTTGATGCCTTCGTTTCAGTTCTGCGATATAACAGAACATAAACCAAATGCATTCATATTCTTCCATTTCAATTTTTCATTCCATCAATGCAGCTCCAGAAATTCAGATGCGGGTAATGACATCGTTAAAATGTATTATTGAGAATGACACAAATAACTAGAAAGAGATGATTAAAGAAGTAAACCTTGTGACGGACAACCGAATGGTCATATCTCGGTGCTGGAGTGTTTTTGGTGTGTAGAGTGGTGAATTTGGATGTGGCTATATCGTAAACAACAACCATTGAGATATTCGAACCGGAAAAGTGTGCACCACCAATTATCCAAATTTTCGAGTCATTTATGACGATCGATGAATGTGATGCTCTTGCACCCATTTCATTGTTGGTTAGTAACGAGTCGAATACAGCTTGTGTTGTTGGTACTTGACATCGATCACCTTTAATCAACTCTTACCAATCAAATACTCGAAGCACTCTATCAAAAATAAAGTGAAACGAAACAACAAACCATGAAATTGTTTAGTGCAGAGACAAGTGTGGTTGGACTGACAAATACCAGCATTACTACAAGCTGGAGTTGTAGTATTGCTTTCTGTACAAACAACATGCTCACAGGCCGTACCACGGTAACCATCAAAGCATTTACATGTGCCGTGTACACAGTGACCGTTCGATGAGCAATTCATTGGACACGTATCGTACGCGAACGTGATATTAAATCCGTACATATTGAAAGCTAGATCACTGAAGAAATACACTAGTGCTTTACCAGATTTTACGCTCAACTCCACATCAGACATCGTGCCACTGCAATTTACAACAGATTTTATTCAAACTAATACCGTCTTCATTGTCAAAAGGATTAGTTGTTCGAAATAAGTGCAAATTTAATGTTAACGTTAATGTGACAAATAGTAATGACATATCAACAAAACTCCAAACTTTTCCATATTAAAACAATACCAAATGGAACACTTCAACTCATATAAACATTTCAAAAAACTGAACCATTTTCAAATAAAAAATCTGGCGATCTTATCACCTACCTGCTGAACTTCCTAACGTCTAGTTTACCTCAAATGATTCGAAATTACGCTGATTCCAGGAGAAAAAACAAATGCGAAGATTTTCTTGAAATGAAGTTGATAAAAGAGAATAAAATAAAAATTGAGGTGTTGATCGATCTGACCTAAACGCAGCTAGCTGTTCTCCGTAAACACCGGTACCATCATAGACATAAACGTGATCCCAACTGCATTCAGTAATGAACGAATCGATTTTCAACAACAACGGCCCACTATTCTGTTGCCCGTCAATTATCCACATACATCTCGATGATGAGCTATAGTTACGAGGGCCATCCGTTATTACTTCACTTTCATTTGTTAATCTAAATGCATCATTTCATTGAATTCATTACCATTGAAGCATCACAGATTAATCCTGAAACATTCTCTATTCTAATTTCATCCAATCGGAACGTGTATTCTCTTAGCAAAAAATGAATACGAAATAAATAAGTTTGCAGATTAATAAGGGCGTGATTTTGCGATGACGATTCATGACTGTCGATAATGAAAGCAAAAAATTAGAAATGCGATAGTGAGCGTCGATAACCGGTAATGAATTGGTTTTGATTGATATGAATCATGAGAGGAGCACAATGTGTCATTAACAAAAATTGAAAATACGGAACATGCATCTTAGTGGATGACTCGAACTGGATTTTTGTATCGATTCATTTACGATTTTCTGTGCAAATATGTACTATTCAAACCCTATCACAGCTGTGGTCATCTAACCAATGAACACTTCGAATGATATGAAAATTCATTGATTGTTTCTATTTACAATTTGATGATAAATTTGGTACTGAATCTAATAATTGATGAATTTTTTGAATAGATATACTGATAAAATATGTTATACAAGCCTCAGTGGTTTCAGATTGAGATGCTTCGAAGTGTTATAAAATAAACAAATTTTATGCGTGGAACAGAAAAAGCATACAGAGTACGGCCATAACAACGATCACACTGTTGCCCGCCCCATCCAGCAAAACATCGACACTTATCACCTTCACATTTCCCTTGGAAACATGGCTTATTATCACAGTTCTTCGATACAGACGTTGGTCCAATCCTAAATGCAAACATCAGTAACAACACTCGTCCTGCTTTTCAAATAGGAAGCAAAACGATGATGATTATGAACTAATTTTTTAATCCACAGGATATGTTAACCATAAGGCTTAATTAATTTTGAATAACAAATCTTTCTATCTACTGTGCTGTGCACCCTAGTGCTCATGAAGCGAGTGCCTTTTTCTTGGTCATGTAGCGAGTGCCCTCTCCTAAACATCCCCTGCTATGCTCAGATTCTCCTTCGAGGATACTTTATAGCTTCCAAACTAGACATTCAAGCTTTATGGGTTCATTCGAATGTGTAAAACTTGGATAGAATGAAGCATAAGTAATGAAAAGATAAAATGAATTCGTAAGATTCAAACGACAATAAGCTATGCGAATTTCAGTGAGAATCAAACAGCTCGAATGAAAAATGAGATGAATCGAAAATTCAAAAAAAGCGCAAACCTTTCGATATGCACACTAGCCAAGCAGTCGCAAACAGTGAACAATACTAAGATGAAGGCAACAAAGATACCCATTTTAAGTGTACATATTTGCATGGGGAATCAAGGAGTTCAGAACGGTAGCGGGATGTAATCGCTGATTCAAAACTATTATGCCGATACTTGAAGTGATAAGGATGACAGTGTAGATGTGTGACGCTCAATAAGAAGCGTTGATGACTGAGAATAAGAAGAAGAAGAAAAATAAGTAACGAGTTTGATGTGTGAATGGGGTTCATCAAAATCGAACCAATTAATAAAAGATTTTAATAACAACAAACGATTGTTGCAACACGATCGTATCATCAACAATAAGAATGAGCATTGAAATATTTCAATATCAGTTCCGATAAATCAACAATAATTATAATCCATGTATAATTAATACGTATATACTTAGAACACACTCATAATCTGTATTCTCTGATGCAGTGGCCGTGCTGGTGCACTCTGCACGCGACGCATATTCATCTTATATACACTATTCAGTCAAAAAGAAACAAGCAACTCCTTTCAACAACTGCCTCTCTCGCATTACGTATGTCCGAATCGATGTCCTGCATTACGTTTGTGAATTAAGACCACCTAATTATACAAAACATAATGCAGTGTTAGGAAAAGACGATAAATCAGTGAACTGATCAAGCGAACGAATCAATTTCTGAAATCAATAGGTGTATAGTGGATTCACAATGGATTAATCGGTCGTACATGTAAATATAAATCTGATGAATACTTAGGTTGGCTTTCTGAAACTGATCACTGCACACACTGGTTATTACGGTAGCTTATAATGCAGTTTGTGGTGCACGTGTATGTGTACGCACCATTGCACGGTACTGATGAGATGCCCTGTTGACGAGGTGGCACGTCAATGAAACATCAACTTACTGAAAAAGAGTTGCGTCGATGAAGTCGGAATACTTATCGTCGAACGGACACAATGAAAGAGCATCGTGCTAACAACAATGTCTAAAAATTCGATTTAATACAAACTTCTGCAATGTAATAATCCGAAAAAGACGAAGTTCCACGGATCCATGCTCTCAAAAGATGCACACGGTTTCATTTCAACTGCTGATGATTTTGGCAAAATCTGAAGTCAGATGAATAAGTTTGAGAGATGGAGCAGAGGTTATGAAAGTTACATCTTGTAGTGTGCAGAAAACGATTTTATGTGGTACTATTGCAACTTTAGTAACTAGGAGCTGTTTTTTGTTGGTAGTCCAAATGGTGGTATACTTACGAAACGATCATTAATTATATTGCCGGATTTCGAATGTGCTCAGTTCTTGAGACTGCATTATTATAATAATAGCTCACTTGTTCTGCATATGTTATCTTCTGATGCATATGCTGAAAGGGTGAAATTTTAAAATGTATGAGGAAATGGTGAATCAAAGTGGATTTTATCCTTTTCATATGAGAACAATACAACTACCGAAAGGATTAAGAGGTCACCTTTTTGGTGTTGTGCTGCATAACTATGTTGTAGAGAAAAAAATGTAATAAATAGTAGTGCTGCAGTAATGAGGAATGAAATCGAGCAATTTTTGGCCAACCCTATGAATTGAAAGAACCGTAGATATTTCAAAGCTTCATTACGAGTGAAACACAT